GCTCCTTGAGCTCCTTAGACTACAATTCTTTGAGGGGAAGGATTGATTTCCTTCTCTTTTTTTAAAAAAAAACTATTTTCCAGTTTAGATATTTTTATTGATTCTGAGAATTTCATACAATGTATTTTGATCCTACTCAAACCCACCCCATCTCTTCTTAGATCCACCCCACCCCTCTATTTCATGTTCTCTATTTTTAAATATATTTTTATTTTATGTGTATGAGTGTTTTGCCTGCATGTATGTAAGTGCACCACATGCATGAAACGCTGCTGAGGTCAGAAGAGGGCAGAAAGTCCCTGGAACTAGAATTAAGGACAGTTGTTAGCTACCATGTTATGCTGGCTCCAAGAGTTCTGTGGTTCTTGGCAAGAGTGCTGTTTGACAAAGTTCCAGCTGAAAGCTGATGACTGCTACTCTTTTGGTGGATATCGCTTCCCCAGTTACTCCTGGTTTTTATAATTTGTATATCCTTCTCTTCTTTAAGTATTCTGATAACCAATTCTGATGATGGAATGGGAAACTAAACCGGGAAAATCTCTGCCTTTAGCAGAATTATTATATTACTGAAACAAAACAAAAGTAATAAGATAGACGACTTCCTCCTATGACTATGATCTCGTTTGGACCTGCATTTGTGATTGATAATGAGGCTTGGTTTCCCCCCAAAGGAAAAGATAGCATGCAATAGATGCCCTGCTGGCTTTTACAGGAGTTTATGACTTTAACCCTAAACGAGGAACTATTGAGACTAAAGTTTGGTATAAGGAAAAACTATTTGGCTTAGGGAAACTCCTTCTTGGATAGAAAGATTAGCTAAGTCAGTAAAAAGCTGGTGGTGCATGACCTCTGAAGAAAAATTGCCTATTCTTTTAGAAAGACTAAAAGCGATTCAAAAAGCCTTTAAAGATAAATGGCAACAAAATAATAAAGGATATTGAACTAGAGAAAATAATCATGACTCAAAGAGTACAAAATGTTCAGGAAGAAACAGTGAAAGGGAGAGGAAAATGATAAATTGGAGTATTGGTTAGACAACAAATAAAAAGAGCTGGTTATTCCCATTCCCATGAGAAAAATAATTCTCTCAAATATGCACACCTACCTGTAAATATTAAATTCAAAGAATTAAAGAGAAAATGGGGACAGGCTGTCTTACACTTCTATGGTAAAATAGAAACTGCAAGGCTATAAAGAGACATTGCTTGGCTATGTTAAGAAAAGGTTAATCATTGAACTTTGTACTTTCCTTTTACTGTGATTATTGAAAAATATTGTACACTGAGAAATACTGTGCAAACTCATGGTTTGATTTATGGTCTGATACTTTACTGCTATTGTAAGCTTTCTAATTATAAATAAAGGTTGTAGAAGGCTGCTTTCAGAAGAGAAGTAGAGACAGAAGTAAAAAAGAAAGAAGCTATTCGGGCTGACCTCCCCCGAGTGGGTCAGTCAGCAGCCTCTACTAGAACTGCAATTGTATTTCTGGTATAGTCATTTCTACTGCCGCAGTTACCTTCACCCCTTCAGGCCCTGGACTCAGCTGGAGCTGGACTCCAACACATGTAGGTACTGGGAACTGAACCTGGGTCCTCTGGAAGAACAGCAAATGTTTTTAACCAGTTAGCCATCTCTCCAGTCTCCATGATCTTTTTTTTTTTTAATCTCACTGAATCCTAATGTCTTCTCCAAATACTCTTGGGTGTGTGTCCATCCCTTGGAGCATGGTCAACCTAATAGGATAATAGGTTAATTGACTGCCCCTCTCCCATCAGCTGTCGATTGCTAATAGCTCCTCAGCTAGGGATGGGACATTGTGCCCACCTCTCCCTTCCATGCTGGGATTTTGTCTGGGTTGAGCTTGAGCAGGTCTTGTGCATGCTGTCCCATGCTGTGAATTCATATATGCCATTGCCCTGTTGTGTCCATATTTTGTTGTTATCATCCACCACCTCAGGCTCTTACAATTTTTCTGCCCCCTCTTCCATGACAATCCCTGAACCTTGGAGGGGAGGGGTGTGTATAGGTGTCTTATTTAGAGCTGAGCACTCCAAAGCCTTTTATTCTTACATGTTGACCAGTTGTCTCTGTGTTAATCAACATCCACTGCAAAAAGAAGTTTCTCTGACGAGGGATGAGAGATGCACTAATCTATGAATACAAAAATAAGTCATTAAGAGTTGATTCAATACTATGTCCATTTAGAAGAATGACAGTAGTGGGTTCGCCTCTAGGATCTATGACTTGTGTAAACACATGATCTTAGCTCTTATAACAGTGTCAGGTATGGGTTGCATCTGTGGAACAGGTCTTAAATACAATCAGAAAGTGTTCGGTTACTCTCATAAGATTCATGCCATTATTGTACCAGTGTTCATATTTTGCTAGGCAAGTCATTACTGTAGCTCCCAGGGTTCACAGCTGGGTAAAACTGATGATTATTTTTCCCTCAGGAGGCAGAGGCAGGTGGATCTCTGAGATCAGGGCTACTCTAGTCTCACAGTTGAGTCCCAAGTCAGCTAGGGCTATAGGGAACCCTGTCAAAAAAAAAAAAACAAAAACAAAAAAAAAAAACAATCATATGGAAATCTACCTCTGACTTAAGAAAAATCTCCTTCTCTTTGAACCATAGCTAAGTCTATCTGAGGCACACTGTGTATTCAAAAAATGACTATTAAATAATCAAATCAATGAAACTCCCAGTATATGAATAGTGTCTTAAGCAACACAGCTATTGAGAAACTTCACATTCCAGTGTGTCCTGTGGCAAGACATCCAAGAGTAAGAACAAGCAATGACTCATAATGGTAGGCAGCATAGCTTCATTGGTGTCAAGTTCAGACACTTTAAGAATGTGAATTCATAAAAGCTTAAAGACTTCCCTGGGGCTTGCAATCAACTCATAGTAATTTTGGAAGCTGGTAATTATTTTTGTTAATGCATCCTATGCTTTTTAATTCTAGTCATCTTTTTTAATTTTTAATTTTTTGGAATGGCAGTTTGCAGGAAGATTTAATGCAGAAGTGTGATTATATCCAATTTCAGAGTGTGAACATCCAATAGACCAAGAATTTGTGGTACATATTCTGGATAAGGTCAAAAACCTTCATCACTGATTAGTAATTTAGAGGATACCACATGTCTTTTCCTGATGTACAAATTAATTCTAGCAAAAAAGTAAATTTTTTAAAATTATTATGTCATTTTTAAAAATTAGACTGCTGGGCAAATTTTAATTTACTCAACCATGTTAAGGAGACCTGTAATTGTGTTCTACTTAGCTTTGCTTTGCTTCTATTTTCATCCTGAGTTTTTTTTAGAATACAATAACCAAGAACAAGTGAACACAAAGAAACACAATTTAATGAATTTAATGGTTTCTTTCTTTCTTTCTTTCTTTCTTTCTTTCTTTCTTTCTTTCTTTCTTTCTTTTTTTGATCTCCCTGTGCCCTCAAGCTGTCCTGGAACTCACTATGTAGACCAGGCTGGCCTTTAAATCACAGAGATCTGCCTGCCTCTGCCTCCGTAGTGCTGGGATTAAAGGCGCGCACCTCTGCACCTGGCCCTTTGTTTAAGTTAATGGTTTCTTTGCTGTTGTTCTGAGAGATCTATTTGTGTAGCTCTAGTTAGTCTAGAACTCACCATAGGCAAGCCAGCCTTGAACTTGCAACGATCCTCGTTTCTGCCTAAGTAGGGTGACTAAAGGCCTGCGGTGTCACTGTGCCTGGCTAGTTTATAAATTTACTTATAAAGTGTTGGCGATAACAATGTAGAGTACAATCTATGATATTTATTCTCTTCCATACACTTTCCAAATTAAAGCTCCCTCAAATTCCTCGTAGTCGGGTATGGTGGTGCTAGCCTTCAATCCCAGCACTCGGAGATCAAAGCAAGCCTGGTCTACATGGTGAGTTCCAGGGTAGTTGGGGTTCCGGGGAGACTCTGCTTTGAAAAAAAGATTAAAAAAAAATTCCTTGTCTTTTTTTTGGTCTTTTTGAGACAGTGTCTCCCTGTAGCCCCAGCTGTCCTGTAACTATGGTAGACCAGGCTGGCCTTGAACTCACAGAGATCCGCCTGCTTCTAGCTCCGGAGTGCTGGGATTAAAGGCGTACGCCCCCACGCACCCCCCCCCCATTTTCCTTGTCATATCAAACAACAAAAATCCTTGTAACTTTAACATATGAGCTACATTGTCAGAATCAAACTGAACAAGAGCAAATCTAAAATACGTTCAGTGGGGTTACTGAGAGTGATGGGTGCATTTTTTTTCCCCAAAGATTGTCCTGTGGGATTTGGATTACACTTAGAGAAATACCTTGAAAAATAAAATACACACCTAAAGCAAACGTTCAACGACTACAATCGATAAAAGAAGTATATGTCTCTGACAAATAGAAGGCAATATTAAAAAATACCATACGGCGAACTTGGAGAAAAATTCTCGTATCAGAAGTCCCTTACTAGAAAGAAAGCAAACTCGTCCAAAATCAAATTACGTCAGCCAACCAAACAAAAGTACTTTGCATCCCTAGCTTTGGTAGAAAGCGGACACCAACACAAAATGAAAGAGACAGCAAACGTTCACAGTAAAAACTAAAAGAAAGCTTTTAAGGATTCCGAGTTACGAATCACAGATGCCTAAGTATTGCGACGCTGCTTTTTTAGAACCGAAAAACTTGCTAAAAAAGGAACGCTCAGCTGGAATATCTGAACGCAGACGCAAAAAAGCCAATCCGCTAGGGTACTCCTGGGAACTGTAGTCACGAAAAAGCAAAGGCTTTCTCCCGGGGGAACTCAAATTTGATCAGGACTCGATGGACGGCAAGCCCTTGGGGCCAATCCAGTATTCTGGGTCCTCATTGGACCCGCCCAGCGAACTCTGAGGGGCATGTCTCTAGTCCACCAATGAGCACACGGATTTGAAAATATCACTTCGCTGATTGGGCATCCTTCTTCGCGTTGGACTCATTATCAGCCAATAGGAGGGCAGAGCCGGCAGAGGTGACAGGGTCACCGGCGAGTCTGCAGAGCTGCCGGCGCCAGCGTCTGGACTGGGAGCTCCTCGAGTCAGGCGGGTTTGGAGAGGCCGTGGCTCCGGGTCGCTGCGCCCGCCGCTCGTCAGCCGCGTTGGTGCGGCTCTGATGCAGCGGCAGGCCCGGGACGCCCGAACCTCCGGAGGGTACGTGGGCCGGGGGCGGAGGCCAGGCAAGGAGCCTGGAGGCAGGGAGGCGGCCGCCTTCGCCCGTCCGGCCGCTCGCGGTCCACTCGCCTTCCTGCTGGCATCCCGCGGGAAGTTTCAGCAGCGGAGCCGCCTGCTCCCGCTTGCTCCCCCGGCCCTGAGAATGTTATCTTCTCCTCCCCGCGTCGACTTTGACTTGCCCTGGTATTGTTGGTAGTGCATGTCATCTCGCCTCTTTGCTTTTGCTTAGTCTCTCCAGAGGGCTCTTTCTGTTAATTCCACCTGTAAGTCTGAGAGCGAAGGGTATGCTGATGTTGGGTTTCATTCAAGAGAAACGAGTGTCCACATGTCTGCACCCAGTTGTTCCTGCTGGGCCTTTGTGCAGTTAGCTGCTCTTTTCATGATACAGTCCCCCCAGCTCTCGGAATTGAAGTCCCCAGTGGGTCAGTTGTTGATAATTGCCATGCTAATATACTGTCTCTCGTTCTTACATTCTTTGATTCTGATACTCGCTCAAGACTGTTATGTGAGGAAACTGAGGCTTGGAGGAGGTAACTCAACCCTCAGAGACTTAGTTGATCGTTAGGAGACGCCTGATCAGATCTCAGTGCCTGGTGATGGTGGTGGTGGTTTACTTTTAAACTTCACTTAACTCATTGAGGACTTAGGTTATGAGCAGCTCTTAGCACGCGACAGCCAAATAATTCTGTGAGTTAAATGCTAACTCTTGGGTGAAAGAAAAAATCTTTCAGACGCCTGCTCAATTGCAGGTGTCTCATGGTATCTAACTCCATGCTTTTCACTCCCTACCAAGCAGCATGTACCTCACCTGAAGCTTGATGGACCCCTCAGATTCCCAGACCCCACTCCACCCACAGACTTGAGATTTACTTTTTAACAAGATTCCTTAAGGTCATCACAGTGCTCATTAAAGTTTGAGGAGAACAGTTTTACAATGGCTTGTCCAAAAAGAACTAAGGAAAGGAGAAAAATAAGACCAGTGTGGTGTGCATGTCTTAATCCCAGCGCTTTAGAGGCGGAGGCTGAGGCAGGTGGATCTCTTGAGTTCAAGGTCAGTCTGGTCTGCATAGCAAGTTCTAAGCCAGCCAGGGTTGCATAGTGAGACTGTCTTTTTTTAAAAAAAAAAACAAAAACCAAAAAACAAAAATAAAAAAAAACAAGGAAAAGAAAAAATAGAGGCATAGATGATAGTCACTTGTGCTCTAATAAAATTGAAATGTAGAAAAGTTTTTTCACAGTTTTATTTGTTAGTGAGACTGATTTTTTTTTTCCAAAAAATGAAATATGCCTCTTGGCAATTTTAGCTTAGCAGCTCCAAATCTTAAAATAGACATAAATATTTAAGCTATTTCAAAACTGTCTTGTAAGATATCAGGTGCTGGTTTTAAAAGGAAAGAACAGACTGAAAGAAATGCAAATTTACTGAAATTAGTTAAGTAAAATTAAAGAACTTTCTGTTTGCTCCTACATAGTCTGGTACGGTTGTGTTTCCCATTGTAATTTTTTCCCCCATAGTTTTTTGTCCCATTTGTCAAGACCTTCCAGTTAGGTTCCTTGGAAGGAAGGTGCGGATTTACTACTGCTTGTAGTTTTTCCAGTTTATTCATTTGGCTATTTGATAATAAAACTGAAACCTGGTGCCAAATTCACATATTAAATAATTAAAGAAAATGTCATGCACAGTTTGTTTCCATGTTTTATTCAGATGTTCTTTACCCTATTAAAAAGACATTCCTTTATGACCAGCCTTAGATTGTGGTGCCTCTTACTTGCACCGAAAATCACCTGATGTTAATACCTGATGTCTTGGGCCCTGCCTTCAGAGATGCCTACTTACGTTTGGGCTCAGCCCAAGGGAATTGTATTGATTTAGACTGTCCAGGTCCATGCTTCTTAATGTGTTTTGGCTAAAAACACAACTGGAGAACAAATGTGTTTGCTCTTGAGCCTGATGAGGTATTCATGACAGAAGGTAAGGGAAGTTTTTAAAACTTTCCTATGCTTTGTTGGCACTATAAAATTGCTCAGATCAGCATTTAGGTTAATTTTCTCTGTTCATAGTGTGTACTTGTTGGTATGCACTTGTATGTGCATGTGCATACATGCATGTCTGTGGAAGGTAAGAGTATCTCCCTCCATCACTGATTTTTTGAAGCCGAGTTTCTCATTGAACTGGAGCTTCTTTATTTGACTTCGCTGACAGTCCCATGAACTTCAGAGGTCCACCTGGCTCCACACCTCCAACTCTGGGATTACAGATGTGTACCACTGTGCCTGGCTTTTACATGGGGGCTGGGGAGCCAAACACTAGTCCTCATGTTTGCTCAGCCAGCATTTTACCCACTGAGCCATCTTCCCAACCGTGTGTGTGTGTGTGTGTGTGTGTGTGTGTGTGTGTACACATGTGTACGTGTGTATGTGTGTATAAAGGTGCATATGTATGCATGTCTGTACACATGTGGAGGGCAGTGGTTGACACTGGGTGTCTTCTTCAGTCTCTCTCCATTTTATTTTTTGAGACCAAGTCTGTCACTGAAACTTGAATTTATTGATTCGGCTAACTGGCCAATGAGCTCTAGGAATCCACCTGTCTCTTTTCCAGCATTGGGATTACAGACTTGCACTATTGCACCTAGCTTCTGCCATGGTGTTGGGAATCTGAACTCAGGTCCTCATGCTTGCATGACAAGTGCTTTACCAACTGAGCCATCCCTCCAGTCCTAAAATTATTATTCCCTTATGGTATGCCACATTTTGAATTTGTTTTTGGAGTTTTTTACATTAGCATACAGAGTAATGTGTTTCATTATGGCATCCTCATATATATGTGTTGTTGTGTTTTACTTGCATTCATTTCTTTCCTGTATCTTTTTTGAGGTCTGCTGAATTGGGAAGAAAGTATGCTGGGATGAATTCTGCAATAATCATTTATAGCCATTTTTTTCCAGCCTTCGTGAAGACATATTTTTATCAAGCAATTTGAATTAAATTGATAGTTAACACAAAAACACAAAGCATATTTAGTGTATAAATTGGGCTTAAAATTCTAGTTTTTAAAAAAAGACTTATTTTTAATTATGTATGTGCATCTGTGTGTATGTGCACATGAGTGCTGGTTTCTGTGGAGGCCAGAAAGGGGTGTCCTATCCCCTGGAGCTGAAGTTACAGGCAGTTGTGAGCTGCCCAACATGGGGACTTGGAACTGAAGTTGCATCCTCTGCAAGAGTAATATGTGCTATTAACTGCTAAGCCATCTTTTCAGTCCCAAGTTGTATCTTTGGAGCCAGGCAGTATCATACACTTGTAATTCTAGTACTGCAAAGGCAGAGGCCGAGGGAGCAGGATCAAGGCCATCCTCAAGTTGCTTCCTTGTTTCTGTTTTCTTTTTTCCTTTCTTTCCTTGTGTATAGATGTGGTACTAGGGAGTAAACCCAGGGCCTTGCACATCCTGGGCATGTGCTCATACAACCACAGCCCTGTTTCCATTTTCCTAACTATCATTACTGTCTTATAAAATCAACTATCTTGACAGGTGTGGAGGTGCAGCTTTACAATCCCAGCACTTGGGAGACTTTGGCAAGAAGATTACACACGTTTGAGGCCAGCCTCAGCTGCATAGTGAGACTTGGTCTCAAAAGTTAAAGATTCTGTGAACTCAGCAATCTACAGCGACATTGATCTTTTTTTTTTTTTTTTTTTTTTTGGTCTTTTTGAGGCAGGGTCTCCCAGCTGGCCTGGAACTCACTATGTAGGCCAGGCAGGCCTCAAACTCACAGAGATCCGCTGCCTGTCTCTGCCTCCCAAGTGCTGGGATTAAACGCGTGTGCCACCATGCCCAGTGATGTTGATCATTTTAAAAGGATTAAGGCCTTATTGTTAGAAAAGGATGTACCCCCCTCCCCAAATAGCTGGGTGTGGTGGTGCAAGCCTTTATAATTCCAGCATTCCGGAGCGGAGGCAGAGGCAGGTGGCTCTCTGTGATTTCAAGGCCAGCCTGATCCACATAGTTCCCTGTCTCAACAGCCCCCCCCCAAAGTCTGTAACCTGATATTAAAAATGTTAAAATAAAATAGAATAAACTTTTAAACATCAAAGAGCTCTGTCCTGAATTTTTCATAAAACCTCTAATTTGGAGAGCAAATCACAGCTTCTGCCTGCTTGCCTTCATTTAAGATGTAGCAGTTGACCACAGTTCTGCTTGTTTCAGAGTTAAGTTCTCTGATGCCTCCTAGTATTCCTGACCTTTTCCTGGCCAGATGCTAGTTTGAACTCTTATCAGTAGGGTTTGAAGATTGGAAGATATTTTGATTGTGGGTCATTGTAAAGGAACAAAAAGATGATATATCTTTTAAAGAGTAATTTTCATTGAAGACTGAGAATGACTTAGATAAAAATGGAGCTCTATAGTTTCAAGGCCTCCATCCTGTGAAAAGTTGCTATTCAGAGTATGTGGTGGTTTTTGTTTTGTGTGTTTTTTGTGTGTCTGTGTGTGTGTGTGTGTGTATGTGTGTGTGCATACATGCATGTACATGCCATAATGTGAGTGCATGTGGAAGTCAGGAAAGCTTGGGGGAGTCAGTTCTTTCCTTCCACCCTTGTGAGTTCCAGGGAGGTTGTCAGGTTTGGCAATGAGCACATTTACCCTTTGAGCCATCTTGCTAGTCCATGTTTTGTTTTTGTTTTGTTTTTTGGACACAGGATCTCATTTAGTAAGGCTGGCCTCAAAAGTGACTATGTAGCTGAGGGTGACTTTGAACTTCTTCCTCTCTCTCTCAAGTGCTGGGATTACAGGCATGTGCCATCATGTTTGGCTGAGTATTAGGGTCTTCCTGTGGGTTGACTTTTGGGGACTTTTTTTTTTTGATCTTTTTGAGACAGAGTCTCCCTGTAGCCCCAGTTGGCCTGGAACTCACTATGTAGACCAGGCTGGCCTTGAACTCACAGAGATCCAACTCCCTCTTGCCTGGCAACTTTTGGGGGCTTTGAGCCAGTAATTGGTTCTATAGTTTGTTTGGGACTTGTGATTGACAGCACATGAAACTTGTGGGTAAGCAGGGTTAAACAGGAATATTCAGGAGGCTGATAGAGGTGCCTAAGAGACCGCAAACCCTAAATGAGGTAGTCTTATCTATGTATTTAGTCCAATGTCTTTTCCTTAGTTCTAACTTTCAGAAATAACAGTAGGCAGGCATGGCAGCATGACAGAGGCAGGCAGGTCTCTATGACATGGAGGCCAGCCTGGTTTAGGAGGTGAGTTCCAGGCCAGTTGGAGCTATAAAACCCTGTCTCAAAACGACCAAACAGACAAACAAGAAAAAAACTGATTTTAGGGAAATTTCTTAAAGTCCTGTATCAGGTTGTGTGTGTGTGTGTGTGTGTGTGTGTGTGTGTGTGTGTGTGTGTTTTGGTGTTTTTGAGCAGGGTCTCCCTATATCCCTGGACCTCACCATGTAGCCCAGACTGGCCTGGATCTCACAGAGATCTGCCTGCCTTTGCCTTCTGATTGCTGGAACTAAAGGAATGAACCACCATGCCCAGCTCCTCTTTTTTTTTTTAATATTTATTTTTATTTATGTCTATGTTTGTGTGTCTTTGTCATTATATACCATGTGCGTGGGGGTGCCTACATTGGCTCCTCTGTAACTGGGGTAACAGACAATTGTAATCTGCCTGACATGGGTTCTGGGAACTGAAGTCAGGGGCTCTTTAAAGAGCAAAAAGCACTCTTAACTGCAAAGCCATCTTTCCAACCCCTGAAATCGTAGTTTCTATATGACAGAACCTAGGCCTGATCTGATTGGGAGTCCTCTGAATTGAATGCATAAAGAGCTTGGGAAATATATCTTCCTAAGCACTGAGGATTGAATCCAGGCTGGTGCTGTAACACTGACCCACATACCCACATACTGCTAGGAAGTACCTTTTTAGTGAGTCAGAGTCTTGCTATAACCAGGCTAAGTGTGAGCCTTCTGCCTGAGCCTCTGGAGGCTTGGGATTACAGCATGAGCTCCTGACTAAGAAATACCTTTATTTCTTCCCTTTTCCCCAGTGGTACTGCTGCTTTACCCTTTACCTTTGTATGTTTCCGTACATGCCAACTCTAGTTCTGCTTTATTACCTTTTTCCTCAAAATGACATTACTAGCCTTTCTGGACTTTAAGAATGTTTTTTGTCCCTTACAGTGGCCATTGTTCTTAAACATTAAACTAATTTGTGTTAAGTATTTGTACCTATATATTCTTCACAATAAGGAGTATAATATATGGTTTATTAGTTGAAGTTGCTGCTTTTAAATTTATGCATTTACAGAGATTATTCCTTACTATTTTGTTTCTTTGGCTTTTATATGCCTTACATATTAGGTTTTCTCAAATACTCTATTTTCAAGACAGAATCTTCCTATGTAATCTAGCTGGCCTTGAACTCATGAACTCATGATTCTCCTGCCTCAACACCTGTGTGTTAAGAGTATAGGCATGAACCACAAAGCCTGGATTGATATTCTGTTTACTTTTATGGATAAATGATACCCTGAATTTAAAAGTGTTTAGAAAGACTGCTGAGCAGCTTAGGGAATAATAGTAAATACAGTCTCAGCTCAGTTCTGCGTAAGTAGCCTTGGTAACTGGGAACAAATTATTTATTTATTATCTTTATGGGACAGGGTCTCCTTGTAGCCCCAGCTGGCCTGGAGCTTGCTATATAGACCTGGCTGGCTTTCAACTCAGAGATCCATCTGCCTCTGCTTCCCAAATGCTGGGACTAAAGTTGTGCACTGCCATGCCTGGCTGGAACAAATTATTTTACTTCTCTGTGACTGCTTCCCTTTCGTGAAGTGAATCGCCTTGAATTCTGTTTCCTTTTTTCTGTGAGGCAGTAGGTGATGCACACTCAGAGGTAGACACTTGCTTATTTTCAGTTCAGGTTCACTGATCTCCAGACTACTTGGAATTGAACCCAGGACTTAAGGAGTGCTGGGCAGTGTTCTACTATTTAGCTGCACTCCCAGCCCTTTTACATTTTTTTATTTTTTTATTTTGAGACAGGGTATTTACATCGTTGTTTAACTAGCCCCAAACTCAACATCCTCCTGTCTCAGCCTCCCAAGTAGTTTGAATTACAGGTATGCCACAGTGCCTGGCAAGACCTGCCACTAACACTCTCCATTTCCCTAGGGGATTAAAAAAAAAATTATTGCTTTTATTTTATGTGAGTTTATTGCCTCCATGTTTATAAGTGCACCTGTGTCATGCAGTGCCTGAGGAGGTCAGAAGAGGGCATTGGATCCCCTGGAACTGGAGTTAATACTGTTGTTAGCCACCATATGGGTGCTGGGAATCAAACCCAGGTCCTCTGCAAGAGCAGTCGGTACTCTTACCCAATGAGCCATCTCTCCAGCCCTCCCTAGGGGATTTTCATGTGTTGTAGATTCAGTTTGCTGAGGCGCTAGTGGTTCTTCTTCCCTCCTCATCCCCTTCTTCCCTCCTCCCTCTTTTTCTTTCTTCTTCCTCCTCCTTCCTTCTTCCCTCTTCCCACTCCTTCATCCTTCTTCCTTCTTCTTCCCCAGAGATGTATAAGGAAGGGGGGAAAAAGCCAGCTCACAGTTTTTTTCTGGAGGCACTTATTTGAGGCCTAAAAATGTTCTAGGGGGGCAAAAAAGCCTTGACAGTGCAACAGTTTGAAAAGTTTAGCAAAGAGTACACGTTTGAACTGTGAAGACCTTGTTTATTGGAACCTTTATGTTAAAATATCTATTGCTAAAATGGAATTTATTAGAATACTGAAGGTGGCATATGTTCTTTAAACATTGTGCACATATATAAATAACTTGATTTCCTTCAACTTATGTTAATTTTATTTTTTTCAAGCTCTAGAATTGTCAGTTCTTTTTTTTGTAGTTTAGATTCATCTAATTTCTAAAGCTGTTGTAATGCAGTATATCAATTACTTTTTAAAAATTTTATTTATTATTTTTATTTTGTGTGTATGTGTGTTATGCCTGCATGGAGGTAAGTGCACCCATGTCCTGCAATGCCTGCGGAGGAGAGAGGAGGCCATCGGAACCCCTGGAACTGGAGTTACAGACAGTTGTTAGCTGCCATGTGGGTGCTGGGATTCGAACTTGGGTCTTCTGCAAGAGCAACCAGTGTTCTTAACCGCTGAGCCATCTCTCCAGTCCCAGTATCAGTTACTTTTTATTGCTGTGATAAAACAGTGTGACCAAAATCAACTTATGGAAGAAAGAATTCACCTTGGCTTATGGTTCCAGAGGGAGAGGCCATAGTGGCAGTATGCTGCTGGACTAGGAAACTGAGAGCACATCTCCACCTACAAACACAAAGTAACAAATGAGCTTGAAGTGTGGGCGAGGCTATAAACTCTTATAGTTGGCCCCCAGTGATGGATTTCCTCCTCCAGCGAGACTCTACCACCTCAAAGTCCCACAACCTCTCCAAACAGTACCTCCAATTGAGTTCACATATGTGCACCTATGGAGGGCATTTCTCATTCAAAACACCACATGCAATTATTTTAAAAGTCCCATAGCTGGACATGGTTGGTACATGCTTGTAATCTTAGCTCTTGGCAGGTAAAGGGAGGATGATCAGGACTTAATGGACAGTCTCTGCTACATAGTTAAGTTTGAGGCCAATCTGAACTGTATGAGACCCTGTCTCAACAAATAAATAGTGCCGTAATATACTTTGACAGACTAGAACTAATTTTGTAAACCTTTTCTACAGAATTTAAGAAGATTTCATTCATGTGTATAGCATAGAAGATGAATTCTTCCTCCACCACCATGAATGAAGAGCCTGATGCTTTATCGGTAGTTAACCAGCTTCGGGATTTAGCAGCAGATCCATTAAATAGAAGAGCCATCGTCCAGGATCAAGGATGTCTGCCTGGCCTTATTTTATTCATGGACCATCCCAACCCCCCTGTTGTCCACTCAGCTTTGCTTGTAAGTTGCTTTTAATATTTTCAGTCTCAGTGTTTTAAAGACCTTAGATAACATGGTAAAAACTAAAAGAAATTAGAACAAATAATATTTTGTGTTTTGGGTGTTTAAAAACAGCAACTATTGGGGCTGGAGAGATAGCTTAGCGGTTAAGAGCACTGATTGCTCTTGCAGAGGACCTGGGTTCGAGTCCCAGCACCCACATGGTGGCTATGAACCGTTTTTAACTCCAGTTCCAGAGGAATCCGAAGCCCTCTTCTGACCTCCACAGCATTGCACGAGACGGGTGCACTCACATACATGCAGGCAATACACTCAAAATAAAAATAATAAATAAAATATTTAAAAAATTCCCAGTAAGTATAACATGTGTAGTCCTTTTACATAAATAGCAACATATGTTGGTTTTGTTCTTTAAGATAAATGTTAACTACATACCATATGCATGGAATGTTCTACAACTTCCTGTTTTCAGCTAACAAGATAGCTATTACTCGTTTTGTTTTCTTTTGGGGATGGGATGTTGTTGTGTTGCCCAGGCTGTTTTCCAAGTTCACGGAATTTAGTGATCTTTTAACTTCAGGCACACACCATTTACCCAGTTTATTACCATTTACTTTGTGTGTGTTGTGTGTGTAACTGGGCTCAAACTCAGGGCCTTATGCATGTTAAGCAAGCCCTCTATGACTAAGTTATGTTCCGTAGTCCGTCAGTAAATAGCTCTTGAGGATTACATCATAACCCTCAAAAAACTTTTGGTTCAGGGAATTGCAATCAGGACATCATGAAAGTGAAGCATATGCTGTGCTAAACTATATCCCTCACGCAAAGGCACTGTTTTGTTTTTATTTCATAGTAGCTTTTTTTGTTTTTTTTAAAATATTTTATTTATTATTTTTATTTTATGTGTATGCGTGTATTGCCTGCACATGGTATGTAAGTGCACCCATGTCATGCAGTGCATGTGAAGGACAGAAGAGGCCGTTGAATTCCCTGGAACTGGCATTTTGGACAGTTGTTAGCTGCCATGTGGGTGCTGGGATTCAAATCTGGGTCTTCTGCAAGAACAATCAGTGTTCTTAACCTCTGAGCCATCTCTCCAGCCCCCATAGTAGCTTTTTTTGTTGGGGAAGTGGATTGAGACAGGATCTCTCTCTGTAGCCCAAGCTAGCCTAGAACTCATTTCCCAGGCTGGCCTCAAACTTGCTGCAGTTCTGGCTCAGCCTCTCAAGTACCGAGATTACAGATGTACACTGCTACATCTGGCTCATAGCAAATTTTTCTGTTCTGTTTGTTTTATTTCCTTTTATTTTTTAATTATGTATATATTTTTATTTTTTAGAAGAAGCATTTCATTGCAGCTTTAACATAATAATAGTTTCCAGAGAAAAGATACATCTCTTTCAAAAGTGGCTATAAGATTTTTAGTTCACTGTTGAATTAATACACTTATACACTATTGAACTCAGTATAAACCCTGTAAGACTTAAAATTGAATGCGTTTTTAACCTTTAGAAAAGAGCTCCATTTCATTTTAAAATAAACTGTTTCTTACAGAAAGACTCATTGTTTTTGCTACTAACACTGAGATGTTGGTGCATGCGTCTCTTAATTTGTATGTATCTGATTATTACTAGTCATAACCGGTTGCACTGGGATTCTTGGCACCTGTGTATGTCTATAAAGTCATCTGGTAGATTTCAATGGTAATGTTTATCACCTCTACTAATTACAATGACACAAATTTTTATGCTTCCTCCTAAAATATAATTCATTTTAATTTGTTGATTTATGTGTGTGTGTGTGTTTATATCACACAGAACATCCCAAACCATCTTACCCATTTCCCAGATGGCACCCTCCCATAGCCTCCTGTTCCCTCCCCCCCCGCCACTAGAGCCCTTATACTCTGTCATCCCTGCTACTATCCACTGTGTTGTCGGCACCCCCAGCCGTTTTCTACTACTTGTCCATCTGGTGAATGTAGTCAGCCTACATCACTAGTAATTAGGGAAATGCAAATTAAAACCACTTTAAGATTTCATCTTACCCCATTCAGACTGGCTAAGATCAACAGAACAAACGATACCAAATGTTGGAGAGGATGTGGGGAAACGGGAACCCTCATCCGCTGCTGGTGGGAGGGACTGCAAGCTTATTCAACCCCTATGGAAAGCAGTGTGGAGAACTCCTAAAAAACAACAAATGAGCCTACCATTTGACCCAGTTATACCACTCCTTGGCATATACCCAAAGAACTCATCCTATGGCAGAGACACTTGTATATCCATGTTTGTTGCTGCTCTTTTCACAATAGCTAAGAGATGGAAGCAATCTAAGTGTCCCTCAACTGACAAGGGGATAATGAAAATATGGTTCATTTATTCGATGGAGTTTTACTCAGCATTAAAGAAAGATGAAATCATGAAATTTGCAGGTAAATGGATGGAACTAGAAACTATTATACTAAGTAACAGACTCAGATATGTTCTCCCTCATATGTGGATCCTAGCAGCAAATCCTGATAAGTGAGTATGTATCCAGACATAACTACAGGAACCAGGATATTGAAAAGGAATCAGGGAGATAAAGGAAAAGAAAGAAGCTGAAAGAGAACAGTAGGAAACAGGCATTAATAAGGGAGATAGGGATATTTTGCTTTTTGAGATAGGATTTCCCTGTAGCCCCAGGTGGCCCGGAACTGCTAAGTACACTAGACTGGCCTCCATCTCACAGAGATCTGCCTGCCTCTGCCTCCTGAGTGCTGGGATTAAAGGTGTGCTCCACCCCACTCAGCCTTCATAGCAACTTTTTTTTTTTAATATTTATTATTTTTATTTTATGTGTATGAGTGTTATGCTTGCATGTAAGTAAGTGCACCTGTGTCGTGCAATGCCCATGGAGGACAGAAAAGGCTGTTGGATTCCCTGGAACTGGCGTTACAGACAGTTGTTAACTGCCATGTGGGTGCTGGGATTCAAACCCAGGTCTTCTGCAAAAACAGTGTTCTTAACTGCTGAGCCATCTCTCCAGCCCCCATAGCAGCCTTTTAAGATATAAATCATATGCCATCATAGAGTTCACATATTAGAAGTATAAATTGAGTGGCTTTTAGTTACAGAGTAATACAGCTATCACTGTAGTCAGTTTTAGAACATTGTTATTTTATTGTATTGTTTTGAGACAAAAATGGCAAACGGTGCTTCCTATAGATACATCCTATCTATATGATGTGTGCTTCGCTCTCTTTTGAGCTATCTTGCTGACCATAGTGTGTGTGTGTATGTGTGTGAACATATGAGCACAACTGCCAGTGCCTACAGAGGCCAGAGACCCTAGGGCCCCTGGAGCTGCAGTTATAGGCGTGAGCTGCCCAACATGGGTTTTGGGAATTGAACTTAGGTCTTCTGCTAGAGCAGCGCACTCAATTGTTGAGCCATCAATCCAGTCAAGCCCCAGAATGACTTTTTAATGGTATCTGCTATGTGCTGTAGATTCATTTCTAGCCATTTAAAAATTGTATATGAGGGGCTAGAGAGATGGCTCAGAGCGGTTGAGAGTACTGACTGCTCTTGCAGAGGACCTGGGTTCGATTCCCAACACCCACATGGCGGCTAACAACTATCTATAGCTCCACTTCCAGGGGATCCAACACCCTCTTCTGGCCTCCATGGACACTGCACGACATGGGTGCACTTACATACAGGCAGGCAATACACACATAAACATAAAATAAAAATAAATATATTTAAAAATTATCAAAATTTCTATAACATTTAAAAGAGCTGGGCATGGTGATGCACATCTGTAACATTAGTACTTCGAAGGTAGAGGCAGGAGGATCAGGAATTCAGAAGTTCAGAAACATGAGACCCAGTTTCAAACATAGTTTTTTTTCCTTTATTTTTTTTTCCCCCATGCTCCAACCTATTCCTCAATGGCTTTACCTTTTCTTTTCTTCTTCTTTCTAATATTTATCATTTTTATTTTGTATGTATGAGTGTGTTGTCTGCATATATGTGAGTGCACCCGTGTCCTGCAGTGCCACAGCAGTCAGAAGAAGGCTTCGGATTCCCCTGTAGCTGCCATGTGGGTGCTAAGAATCGAACCCAGGTCCTTTGCAAGAGCAGTCACTGCTCTCAACTGCTGAGCCATGTCTCCAGCCCCCCACCTTTTTTTTTTTTTTTTTAATAGACAGGGTCTCTTTGTAGCCCCAGTTGACGTGGAACTCACTGTGTAGACCAGACTGACCTTGAGCTGCCTGCCTCTGCCTCTTGAGTTTTGGTAAAGGTGTGCACCACCATACCCTGTGTCAAGAAGAGTTTTAAGAAAATTACTGTAAAATTTTGCTTACCATCCTTTACTTATGGATCTATGATATTTCCTTTATTCTAATTTCACAAGTTTGTATGAAAAAAAATGCTTTTCCATTTAGAAAAACTGAACTCCCTGTTTAACCTTCATAGAATGAAGTTTAAGTAGCAGAACTGTGTGTGGACAGTAGTAACAAGGGGGTAGTTCCTGCTTAGGATTATAGTTCAGTCAGTGAGAACTGCAGTAAAGGTAAAAAGGGAGGCTGTTTATTTCTAGATAGGGTCTTGAGGCTGAAAGATTTTTTTTTTAATCTTTTTTTTTTTTTAAAAATATACTAGACTTGGCCATATCTGAATTCACAAGGCAAGGGCTGTTGGAGTGAGTGTATTAACTACTTTTATGTTGCTATGATCAAATACCTGTCAGAAACAACTTAAGAGAAGAAAGGTTTATTCTGACTCATGGTTTCAGATGGATTTCAGTTTATCATGATGGGGATGGCAGGACAGGACCAGCTCAGTTCATGGTGGTGAGAACATGTGGCAGATTCCTTACATCATAGTGAACATGAAACAGCTGAACTGGAACCAGGGACCAGTGTAAGAGGGCCTTGCCTAGTGATCCAGCCCAACTCTACCTCTTAAAGGATGCCCAGCCTTCATAGTAGCACCACTAACTGGAGACCTGTC